GAAATTACGGGACAATTTGTCCATTTTTACGAAGAAGTTGGGACACCTGCAGGAGGGCTTAAATACGGAACTGTCCCTTTAAAAAGGGGACATCTGGTCACCCCACTGAACACCCTTGCCCTGGCCCGTTCCTTTCCCAAGGCACATCCCTGCCCTGCCCCTTCTCTGAGGCCCCCCTGCTCACACCATTCCCCCCCCCTCCATTGCTCGCTCTTCCCCCACCCTCACTCGCTCATTTTCACCAGGCTGGGACAGAGGATTGAGGTGTGGGGGGGTGAGAGCTGTGGCTGGGGAAGGGGGTTGGGGGCCGAGGGGTTTGGAGTGTGGGAAAGGGCTCCAGGCTGGGGCAGGGGCTTGGGATGTGGGAGGGGGTGAGGGCTCCGGCTGGGGGTGCAGAGGCTGCGTTGGGCTGGGGGTGAGGGTTTGGGGCGCAGGAGGGGGCTCTGGGGTGGGGGAGTGGGTGCAGCAGGGGTGCTAAGGCAGATGGGAACCGGCCCATGGGAGTGTGGTGCCAGCACCAACTAGAGCCACTGTGACCAGGGCGGGGTTGTGACCTGTAGTTTGAAAACCACTGAGTTACATAGTGAAGAAATGGATCATTAGGGGAACAGGGTATCCAATATTGCTGGGAAGGAATGCACTGGATTTTATGATGCAGTACAACATATTTTTGGAAGTTGTATTCACTCTAGTCTGATTTTCCAAATTCCTCCTAAGTGTAGCAACCGGCATCTGGAGCTTGTCAACAAAATATGTCTGATCCGATCTGAAAGCATCCCCACTTTGAAAGTTAAAAATAATGTAAGTACTGGGTAAAAAGTTACTCTTTGGAAAGAGCCGGCAGCAGCTCTCTGCAAAGCTCAAAACAGGGACGGCCTTTGTGTCCTGCATAGCACAGCAGTGAGCGCACTGTGTGCATTTAACAAATAAATGACTAGTTTTGCTTCCCCCCTTGGAGAATTTTCTCATATAGCGGGTGTTGTCCACGGCTTCTGCCCTCTGCTGGATTAAATTGGATCTGCCCTGGAGTTTAGCAAAAGATTCTGCTAGGGGCGTGGAGTTAGTCTCTAAGGTGCCACAAGGACTGCTCATTGTTTTTGCTAGTGCTGATAGCTCAAAGAGATTTCACTAGCACAAATTGAAGGAGAGGGTTGAGTCTGCAAAGCTTTATGCAAAGGCAGATGGCAACTGTAGTGCTATGTGTGGGGGGAACAGCATAGATCTGAAGGTGCAAAATCGGTCTCACGTTTCATCTGAACTCAGCACTTCAGGGGTCTGTCTAGAATGTCTATAAAAGGCCAAATCCCTGAGCGCAATTATGCTGATATACAAATCAATAGGAAAGCAGAGGGCAAGGGATTATGAATCAAATCCTGTAATTTTCTTGGAGAACACTGTCTTAAAGCAATACTGTCTTTAAAACTTTCTAAAGGCAACTCTGATTCCTTAGAGGAAAGTAGTGCCCAGTTTTACAAACAGGCTTAGCATGCAAGTTAAAATGTTTTGCATTTCCCCACTGATCCAAACTCCACTGCAGACCTGACCATGAGTGCTTGCTGGCTTGTGCCTTAGCTCTGTTACAGCCAACTGGTGAAATTTCATTGAATAAAGTATTTGCTAAATATTCAACCATCTTGTGAGCTGGTGAACTAATAATCATACAAGGATTAGGCTGTGTAATGAATAATTCAACCATACATGGTCAATAGCAAAAAATTCTACCCTACCCTCCCACCCTCCCTTCTGGGGAGGGACCAAAAGCCCACACACCTCCTGGGGACCCACCTCCATATGGAATCCCCCTTGTTCTTGCACCCCCTGCCCTGGGAAGGGACTGATGGCCCCCACAGCCCCCTGGGGCCACCCTTTCTGCATCTCCACACAGGGAATCTCCCAGACCCCCTGTCCTGGAGTGGGAGTGGCAGAGCCCCATTCCCCCAGAGGGACCATCCAGTGCCCTACATAAGGAACCATCCCCATGATCCCACAACCCTTGCCCTGGGGGAGGGGGGTGGAATTGACAGACACACACCCTACAGGGGACCCCCCCCATGATCCCACACCCCCTGACCAAAGGAGGGGCCAACAGCTCAAACCGCCCCCCCCCCCACCAAACCCCACTTTGGCCACCAGGAAAGGGGCAGGACTCCCCACTCCCACCTGCCTGCCTCATGATGGGAATTCCCCCCTGCCAGGCAGTAGGGAGGTGGGACAGAGCTGGGAGATCCCTTCCTTGACTTCCTGTTGTTGGGGGAAGATGCTTTCTCCCTGCCCTCCCATGGACCCTCTTATCAGAGGCTGATGTCCCCGCTGATCTGAGAATGACCCCCCCCCTCCACCAGTCCCTGCTCACCCATCAGAGAGATTCCCTCCATAACCGAGGGATGACACCCGCGATCTAGAGTGCTGCCCCGCCTGCCTCTGTAGCTAGAGGATGACAGCCTTTTAGCTAATGTGACACCACCCCAGTCCCTGACACCTCGTCTCTCGCCTTGCTGTCAGCACAGGGGCATTGCTACGTGTGGGTGCCCAGCTCAGAAAGCCAAAGGGGTGCTGGTGAAAGCACTAGCAGGGGAGGAAGGGTGTCCCCATCCCCAAAGGACTTGCTGGCTAGAATGTGGGAGCTCAGCTTGTGCTGATTTAGCCACAGCTGCACCAAGTGGTCATTGGGCAGTGGTGCAGGCAAGGTGGGGGTGCTGCAGCCTGTCGGCCAAGAGCTGCACTCTCGGCTCCTTTTGTCTGGCTGTTAAATTCAAGACCCTGAAAGGTGTTTCCATTTATTTTATGCCCCCCCATAACCCTCCCAGGCTCAATGAGCTGCACATTTTTGCCTGGATGACAATTAACTGGGTTACCACTGGTTCTTACATTACATGAAGGGACAAATAACGCTTCTGCCACACTATTCATGAGTTTATAAACCTTTAGCCTATTCCCCTTAGTCATCTCTTTCCTAAGCTGAACAGTCCATCAAACTCTCCCCTTACGGAAGCGCTTCCATACTCATCGTTCTTGTTGCCCTTCTCTGTACCTTTTCCAATTCTTATATATCTTTTCTTGTGACGGAGTGACAAGAACTGCACCCAATATGCAAAGTGTTGGCATACTATGGAGTTATATAGTGGCAAGATGATCTTAACTATTCCTTTCCTCATGGTTACTAACATTGTTTGCTTTTGCCAGGATTACTTTTGGAGCCTTTTTTTTTTTTTTTAAAATAAGTATCTAGCCACCACTGTGACAGCTCCTGATGTAAGTGATAGGTTACATACTAAAGTTAGTAGCTCTGTAATTTCATATCTGAGTTCCTTCCAAACTCTCAGGTGAAGATCAGCTGGACCTGGTAACTTATCAGTAATTTTGTTCCAAAATCACCTCTCTTTGGAATACTTCCCTAGATGCGTCACCTAAAAAGAATCTCAGATATTGGAATCTCCCTCCCATCCTCTGCAGTGAAGACCAATGCAAAGAATTCATTTAGCTTCTCTAGAGTAGCCTTATCTTCGTTGAGTGCTTCTTTAGCACCTCAATCATCCAATGGTCCCACTGTTTGGCAGACTGCCTGCTTCTCATGTACTAAAAAAACAAGCTACTCTTCAAATTCTTTTCTTGCCTGCATAATTGGGGCTTTCCAGCTATCGTCTTTTCTTGGAAAAAAAGTTATTTCTCTCTTACGTCATAAATGAAAGCTACTGCCAGCACTGGTGCAGTGGCTTTAAAAATCAGTTTCCTATATAAAGGGTTCTGCTACAGAAAAGCAGTTCATTCTAAGGGCTGCTATCCAGCTCTGGTTAACTTCCTCTGAGGAAGGCTTAATATTCCTTAATGCCATGCAGTTTTAATATACATAAGAGATTTTTTAGAAAGAATCAGTGCCATTAACCTTTAGGAGGACTCTTTATCTATTGGGTGCTTTTGAAACTCTCCCCTGAAACCACAGTTCAAGGTCCTGTCTATAACAGAAGAGTGCAGTGCTTTAACCAACTTAATTCAAACTGGTGAAAACCCTTAAATACCATTGGTTTGACAGGGGATTTAGGAAATCAGTACCACTAGGTGCTTTTGAAACTCAGTCAGTCAGTCTTTGTTATAACACTTCATTAGTTCTTAACTCACTTGAGCCATTCAGGATATACAGTACTTTACTTTCCACTGTAAAAAAAGCTGTAAACTTAAATTCTGCTGTAAGCAGCTCAACTACACTACTACAGTCAAAGTATTGCTAGCTTCTGCCACAGTTCTTCCGGCTTTGGTAGCACTTGAATATACCAGTTTAAAATGCCTCCAGTTTGAAAATGCTGTGTATTTGTACTGAAAATGTGTTATTACACAATGGGAGAGAGCTTTTGACTAGTAGTGTAATATTTGCACATTTCAGAGTAACAGCCGTGTTAGTCTGTATTTGCAAAAAGAAAAGGAGTACTTGTGGCACCTTAGAGACTAACCAATTTATTTGAGCATGAGCTTTTGTGAGTGAGCTGTAGCTCACGAAAGCTCATGCTCAAATAAATTGGTTAGTCTCTAAGGTGCCACAAGTACTCCTTTTCTATTTGCACATTGTATTTAAAAGCTAACTAAGCCACTGAACTGCATATCCCAATTCATACCTCTTAGGGCATACTAACCTGACTACAGACTGAAGGTGATAACATTGTGCCAGTTTACATGGCCTAAATTAAGATTTCTTTGGTATTCTGAAGGAAAGAGGTTTTTTTTTTTTTTTTTTTTTATTAAAGGCATAGATCTTGAAATTCCAGTCTGGCAAATTCCATGCTTAGGGCATGCAATCTCAGGTGACTGCTTTAGCCCATTACCTTAAGAATATGGAAAAGTTACGCATGGAAGTTGCATATTATACATAAACCACTGAAAAGTATTTAACTTTGGTCACTTTCCCTAGTTTTATCTGCAAGGGCCCTTTCACAGATCAGAAAGAGGCATGATTAGACAAAATGTTCTTACACTGAAAGCTGCCTCACCCCCAATAAATTCACATGACAAAATGGACAAAATTTATTAGCAAAATATTTTGCAAAATTTAAAACTGAAGTTACACGATTGGTTGTAAACAAATGTACTAGACAGTCTTCCCATTCCCAATAAAATCATAATGACACATTAGGTCAAATTAGAGAGAAAAAAAATTGTTTTTGCAAGACTTCCACAGGAAGATTTTGTACAAACCTGGCAGTGTTTGTCACTGGATCACACATGCTACCTAAACACCTGAAACATGTTCATTTTCTTAATTGTTCATGTGAGGTTCCCAAGTATGAAATTTTTAGGTATGCTACATCATGAAGTATGCTACCTGACATGTTACAACTCACTGAAAAGAAAAAAGATTTGAACCAGGCTTTGAGGAAAAAAAAAATCAGCATAATCAAGTGTCACTATATGTAAAATGATGGCCTTACGAGATCAGCTGCTAGTCACGAGACATTTGGGCTGCACTTTTAGAAGCCAATCACACTTCAAAATACACATTCTGAATTGGAGTCTTCAGAATCTTCTAGGACCTTGAACACTCCCACTTTTTCTTTTTCAACTGATTCAGACTTTTTCATTTGGTCTAAGAGAAAAACAAACAAAACTGAAGGTTAAACAGAATTGTGTAGTGTCTTACATTGGAAGTAGAACAGTGCAGAGAAAGAAGCTTGTGCCTCCTACTAGCAGATGCTGAATGAAATACACAGCATGCTGAGTATCAGGGCTTGGCTACACTTGCAAGTTAGAGCGCATTAAAACAGTCCCAGGCATCCTAACTCCCGATGTGTCCATACTGGCAAGGCACGTAGAGCGCCTGGACTCTGCAGGTGGAGCGCTTCAGGTAATCCACCTTCACAAGAAGCATAAAGCTTGCTGCGTCCTGGCTGAAATACCTGGCCATCAGTGTGAACGAGGCATTGCATTACTTCACTGTGATTGGCCTCCGAAAATGTCCCATAATCCCCTGAAGTCAAGTGGCCACTCTTCTCATTGTTTTGGAATCGGCTGCAGGAATGCAGATATCCTCTTTCAAAGCTCTGTTTCTGACAGCTGGCATGCTTATCTGCTCTTGGACAATGCAACCATTACTGTGGAATGCTGCTTGCGGTGAGTGGGGGGGGGGGGGGGGAAGGAGGGCAGCTGCTGCCTGAATTTACAAGACAGCATGCTAACACACTCTCAGCACACCCCAAACCACCTACACACAACACACTCCCTGTCACACTCCGCTCCACCCCTGCCCCATTTGAAAAGCACTTTGCAGCCACTTGCACACTGGGATAGCTACCACAATGCACTGCTCTTTGTGGCATTGCAAGGACTGCTAATGTGTTCATTTGCAGCTAACAGTGTAAACACAAGGCAGCGTTTTCCCTGCTGCAGTCTCCAAAGGCTGGTTTAACTCCCAGTGCTCTACATCTGCAAGTGTAGCCATGCCCTCAGTTGTCAATAGAGTTGGGCAAGAAATGGTTACCCCATCCCAAATCAGGAGGAAAACTAAAAAAATCTGAGACTTTTTTGGTTGAGGTCAATTGAAACATTTCATTTCAACAATTTCAAAATGTTTCATTTAACAGTCATTAAAAAAAAACAACCTCTAATTAGCGTGTGTTTCAAAACAAAAAGCTGTTTCAAGCCCCCCCCCATGTTTTAAAAATGTCCTGTTTTGACAATTTTAAAGATTTTCGAAACAGGAAATTCATCAAAACAACCCCTCATTTCCCAGGAACAATTTCAGTTTTGATGAATTGGAATTTTCTGACCAAAAGAAGTTAAGACTTCCTGACCAGCTCTAGTTGTCAATGTAGTAGTAGACAATGGTACTTCACATACATCCATTTTGTTTGAACAGAACACGGACATAAAATTTTATTAGAAATTTCTGTGGGGACCTTGCTCTTGGGCAAATAAAGGCATTGGCAATTCTCCTCTGCTTTTACATATAAAATATAAGGGAAAAATTCTATATATTTTACTGTCAAATAGGAAAAGAGGACCAAATTAGTTTTACTTACCAATAAGGTCACTTCTATCCAGCAGTAACTCTAGATCTTTGTCACTGATTACTTTCTCTCTGGATCCTTTAACCTCTCTATAGAAATAAGAGTATCTTAGTCTAAACACTAGTTCTCAACATTTTTCCACTCAAAGACACCCCCCACCGCCTTTCCATACCAGAATCCCCCAGGACGTCCCGTCCCATATAGCAGAGACCCACATCCCATTTAGTAATATCGGAAGAGCAGGGTAGTTGAGATCCTCAGACGCTTATTTGCATCTCCCAGGTCTAACAAAATGTGGAAGTTAACATACCTTTCATAGTCCCTGGATTTCAGTAATTCCATTAATTCCTTAGGATCCAAGCAACGCTTTGTTTGGATTAACCCAGATTTACCACCTTTAAACTGATCTATAAAAAGAGAAACCTTTCTTGAATATAAAGGCTGCCAAATTACCAATGAATTCTATAAACTGACATCTAATGTATGCTGTTAACCCAACACAGAAAGAGAGAGAAAAAACTATTCTTGGATATACTTGGATTTGTTGCCTAAACATATACCAAACATGCCCTAAATTGTGACGACTAAATTAAATAGTGAAAGTCAGAGCTGTATAAAAAGTTTTCATGTAGGCCTTTACTTTCTAATTGTGGCACGCAAAATTAAAAAAAAAGGTTGCAACACACTGATTTGACATGCACACACACAGTGGAAAAGCTATTAGTTCTACTTACAGTAAAAACATTGCAAATAAAGTTAGATGGTGGATGCCGAAGTGTGTTCCGTTTGCAATGTTGCTGATTGAAACAAAGTGAGGAGTATTATCACTACAAGATAGAGAATAAATGAAAGATATCCTGTCCATTTTATTGGGGTGTATTTCGCTCAGTGAATTAGCTACAACTGTTTTGATTAACATTTTTAAAACAAAAACATTTCTTCAGACGAGAACATCCAGACACCTTTTTGTACCCAAATCTGGATGTTTTCCAATTCAGATCTGACTGTGGGAACAGAAGAGAAGTCTTCCAGACAACAGAATGTACTGGTGTTGTAAAAACAAGAGAGATAGGTTCAATCAAAGTATGACTGAAGATGAGACCTGGAAGGTTTAATGAAAGAGGGGTCATTTGGATCAGCTATCATGTCTTTCAAGAAATGGTATAAGATTAGTTCTAATTGGCTATAGTTGAATGAGGTCAAAGCCAAGGACAACACAACACATGCCCAGAAGGCTTTGCAGCTTTCTGTTACCATTGGACTCACCCAACCTTGCCTGAACTTTTGTTACATTTACTGAAGCATCTGTCCATCCTCGTCTCCCCATTATGCACTTCTTTCTTTCCTCAGTCACCTCTAAGATCTTGCTTTCAAATCCCACCACGGCACCCCACTAAGTTTTTGTTAATTCTCCCTGTAGTGCTTTAGTACTCAACATATGCTACAGGTTAACAATGTACTTCTCAGATGTAGAAAAAGTTGCATGAAATACTGAGAAACAGTATGTAACCATTTTAAAGAGACACAATCAATGTATATACAGTGTGCAGAAGTAAGTTTACATGTATAACTTTACTTTGAGATTTCCTGACTTGAGATCTTAACCATAATCTTCTCTTAATGCAGCTTTTTTAAAGTGATGTTTCTTATGGGTTTTTTATTATATAGATAAAACAAAATGCATCAAGATCTGAAAGCTCTGCTGATTTGTAACCAATTCCAAATCTGGAGCTACTTCTATTTTACCCCTCAAATACCATCAAAGCACTGGTCCCATGCACATGACAAGGTTCACAAGAGAGAGTCCCTCTTCTGCAAACTTTAGGTGCTTTTCATAGATTTATTTTTTTTAAAGGCTAGAAGGGACCATTAGATCTATAGTCTGACCTCGTGTAAAACAGGCTACAAAATGTCACCCAGTTTCCCCTGTACTGAGCTGCAAACCTTGTAATTTGCACCTGCTCCAGTGCATCTAAGTGGAGCTCCTTGTTGCAAGCTTTACATCAGCCCTCTGTAACAACTTCCAGGACCCCTTAGGTCAAAAGTCACTTTGGAAGAGACCCTGCTTAAAATCTAGTACTTAGTTACAGGGAAGAGCAAAGTTTAGCAAATTAATGAGAAGAAAAATATTTGCATTAATGCAATAGGTCAGACTACTCAGTTAACACATTCCATGCCATCTGTCTCCTCTCCTTTAGTACAGGACTTTACATTTATTAGTCCCAATCCCTCCCTCACCCCTGCTGCCTGAAGCCCTCATGTCTCTTATCTTTGTAGGTCATTTTACAGTTTTTCCTTTGTTTAAACTAAAATGGGTGGGGTAGTGTATCTGCAAATTGGATCAGTTGCATTTATACCAAAGAAATTCCTGAGAGATATGCTTTTTCTCCTATTTTAATAGGTCATAAAAGCCAAGAAATTTGCTGGCAGATACTAGAGCAGTAACCAGGGTGGGTTGAGAGGTAGCCGCCCAGGCGCAAAACTGCAGGGGCAGAAATATGGGGCAGTGTGGGTGGGGGATGTGGGGTCACTATGAAGAATGCCCCTCACATTTGAAAACGGTTGCCTTCTGGTTGCTTGGAAGCTAGTGGGAGCCATCCGGCCCGCTCTAGCCTTTCCCCTGAAGGAGTCCAGCCCCTGTCTCCAGAGCCCAGCTGCCATGAGATGCTCCCTGATGCACTCGCCCCGCCACCGCCCAGCCTAGAGGAGGGCAAGAGCAGTAGCACGCAAGTGCCTCTGGGAGCATCCCACAGCAGCTGGGCTCTGCAGACGGGTTGGACTCCTTCGAGGGAGAAACAAGAGCAGGCCGGGTGGCTTCTACCTGTTTCCAAGCAACCAGAAGGCAACCGTTTTCAAACTGTGGGGGGTTCTCTCCATAGTTTGAAAACCTCTGTGTTAAATGGAAGTCAGAAATCTGGGGGGGCCATATGCCCCCACATACCATCCCCCTCCTCCCACGCCACCCCATTTTTCTACCTGGGCGGCTGCCCTACTCTGTTTATGGCCCATATCACCATGATGTAAGTGGAGTATAAAAATCAGAGTAGGCTAAAAGAGCAAGCATAGAATCATAGAAGATGAGGGTTGGAAGAGACCTCAGGAGGTCACCTAGTCCAACCCCCTGCTCAAAGTAGGGCCAACCCCAACTAAATCATCCCAGACAGGGCTTTGTCAAGCCCGGCCTTAAAAACCTCTAAGGATGGAGGTTCCACCACCTCCCTAAGTAACCCATTTCAGTGCTTCACCACCCTCCTAGTGAAATAGTGTTTCCTAATATCCAACCTAGACCTCCCCCACTGCAACTTGAGACCACTGCTCCTTATTCTGTCATCTGTCACCACTGAGAACAGCTGAGCTCCATCCTCTTTGGAACCCCCCTTTAGGTAGTTGAAGGCTGCTATCCAATCCCCCCTCATTCTTTTCTTCTGCAGACTAAATAATCACAGTTCTCTCAGCCTCTCTTCATAAGTCATGTGCCCCAGCCCCCTAATCATTTGCCTTGCCCTCCGCTAGACACACTCCAATTTGTCCACATCCTTTCTGTAGTGGGGGCCCAAAACTGGATACAATACTCGAGATGTGGCCTCACCAATGCCGAATAGAAGGGAATAATCACTTCCCTCAGTCTGCTGGCAATGCTCCTACTAACACAGCCCAATATGCCGTTAGCCTTCTTGGCAACAAGGGCACACTGCTGACTCACATCCAGCTTCTCACCCACTGTAATCCCCAGGTCCTTTTCTGCAGAACTGGAATTCTTGCCTGGGATTTTTCCGTCCTAAGTGCAGGACTCTGCACTTGTCCTTGTTGAACCTCATCAACATCGTTAATTCAAGACTGGCAAATATCACCCAAAAACTAGTAGTAGCCTATGATCTACACTTTGAAAAACATCACACCAAGCAATTTAATTCTCTCATTCTCCCTGTCCCCACCCAAACATACAGCTTTTGGTGTATTATGGGAAGTCCTTACCTTCCTCTGAAGTTTAAAGTACAGGCTACTGTCAGAGGTCCACCAGATTATTAAAAAATCAGTGGATTCAGTGCTTATGAAAAAGGCCAGAGTGCAGAACTGTTAAAATTTTATCAACAGAATAATTATAGCAATGATTTATCACAGTGCCCAATCAATATTCCTTCACCAGTAACGATGAGAGGGAAATAGTTCCACCCAACCATTTGTTACTTGGGTTGTACAGAGATTACCAACTAGGAAGACAAAATAGCAGCAAGTAAATTATTGGATTGTGTTGCATACAAAATGAGACAGATTTCATAACACAGTGCCCTAAAAACTATTTTACCTGGGTTATTTTATTACAGAAATTACTTTAGATAGTAATTTTTGGATAGTTTTTGTGGGCAGGGTCCCGCGAATGCCATGATTCTAGGACTGCAAGACTGGCCATCTGGACCAGATACTACAGAAAACCCCAGTAGGACAGTATGTATATATGTGTGTATATATATATAAGAGAGAGATGCAAATTCTGCTAATGTGAACATTGTCACACAACATATTGTTCTCCCTGCCTTCCTCTGCCTCCCCATTTCAGCTGATTTCAATGGATGTGATCCAAAGCTAGACAAGTTTGCCTGTGCCGCTAGAAAGCCCCTTTCCCAAAGCTTCAGACCAAATTAAAGACAGAGTTCTGAATCTTGTCTGTCAGATATTTTCCTTCCTGAAGGTAGATAACTGTAAACCTGGAAGTTGATATTGCCGACAGCTGTCTCATGTCCCCAACAGTCATCTTGACCACTCTCACTCCTTACTGTCTGGTTTCATTCCTGTTTCTCTCCCTGGCCAGCACACACTGTCCTTGCTCCTCACTCTCCCCAGAAGCTAGGAGGAGGTATAGCACACACTGACCCCAAGTTCCACATCAAGGGCCCATAATTTTAGTGGCAAACTAATTAGGCAGCAGTCTGAAATGCATGGAAAGAGTAATTTGCAGCCAAATTCAGCATCATGTCACAGAATTCAGCCTAGATGCTAAAGAATGCATGGAGTGCTGATTAGAAGGGCTAAGAGAAACAGGCATATTTAGAAAAAGGAGACAAACTACTTACATATAGAGAAATTCTCTGTTAACAAGAACAATTAGAAATAATCTTGAATTATAGCAAGAATTCCCCACAGTTAATGGAACAAAAAAGTTTTACAAGTTCCGAAGAATGAATTTACTAACTTTTATGAATAATCAACTTCTCTAGCTTCCTTTTGGCAGCAGCTCTCTCCACAATCTTCTGGTCAACAGTATTTGCTGTCACAAGGCGATAAACAACAACTGGCTTTGTCTGACCAATTCTGTGACATCTATCTTGGGCCTGAAGGTCAGACTGGGGGTTCTAAAATGAACGAGATTAAAGAAATCAAATTAGCTTAATTGTTAAAAGATGCACAGTGAATTCTATTTTTCATCACTCAGCTTTCCAAGCTATCACTTTTCAGGATGAAAAGTCTACCACAGGGGGTTTTGTATGGTGGGAAAAGGGAAAGACTGAGAAAAAACTATTCAAATGTTCTGGAGAATGAGTGAGAGATATTTATCCCTTTACTAAAAAAGTTGTAACTTAATTAAACCAGTTCTACAATTGAAATGGACGATGGAATTAGCCCTCACTGGGAAATACTTTTGCACCAGAATTCTCAATTTGTTTATTTGGAGCTCTTCATAGTTCCTGAAATGGGAAGAGATATGCTAAGTATGCTTGTGCAGCCTAAGTAGCTGTATACTGAAAAAGTTGAAGATGTACAAGTCCATAGGGATTAGCCTCCTAACAGCTCTTCAACCATCCTCCTGAGGCTCACAGAAGGTAGTGGGGCTGTAGCTTGCTGGAGCTTTGGGATGTCAGTTGACTGGGAAAATTTTGGGCACCAGAGACCAACAAGGCAGCTGTTGAAATAGGGAAGTTTGCAGAAGTTGTCTGCCCAAGAGGGCTCAAACTTCTTTAAGAGCTTTAAACTTCTTCTCTCCAAGGTAGGCATTTTAATAATTATCAACACTCAAGCAGTATGCATTCTTTTCAAAAACAGAAAAGCCTGTTTTTAAGAAAATTCAGGGACCAGCCAGTTGCCTACAAAGCAATCTTAGCTGTGATCTTACGTGTTTTGAATAGGCCAGCACATTTTTACTTATTACCCTATATTTAATCTGAATATATATATTTTACTATGTAATTTTCACATACATTACTTTCATAGATTATCTGGTAGAGCATCCCATACCACAAAATGCTAAGTGAGTATCTAGGGTTACAGTAGAAAATTGTATGATGTAGCATTTGAGAAACAGTTTATCATCTTACCCAGTCACTATCATAGATGATGACTGTGTCTGCTGCAGTCAAATTAATGCCCAGACCTCCAGCCCGTGTACTCACTAAAAATATGAAAACTTCAGGATCTGTATTAAATTTATGCATCTGGAAAAGAATACATCTAACATGAAATAGCATACAGAATAAAAGGATATGGTCAGTGGGTTTTTTTTTTTAACCCATGTTTTAAATTAAATCAGATGATGATTAAAAATATATTATTTGCTTTGTCTTTCTACAAGGCATTACATATAAAGCTTACCAACAGAGGTTGAATTTGTTGCAATTAGCTGAGTTGGATACATGCACCTAAGCATTTAAGCTATTACTTACATTTTCTTCTCTCTCTGTATAGGACATAGATCCATCCAAACGACTAAATTTGTAATTCCGCAGATAGCAATAATCCATCAAAATGTCCAACATCAGTGTCATTTGTGAGAACAGCAACACCTACAAGTAGTTAAGATTCCTCAGTATCCCTATTTTAAAAAATAAAACCGAACACCAAAAACACACAACAAGGCAACTGATCAGTTATGATCCATATTCATAAACAAAAATACCTTGTGTCCTCTCTTTTTCAGTTCTGGCAGCATCCGGTCCAAAAGTAGAAATTTGCCTGAATTCTTCACTAGATCTTCATCAACCTTAAAACAGAGTAAAAAGGAGAAGTCAAGATTTACAATCTCCCAGATGTATCAACATTCATGTACTAGGGATGACAGTTAATGCACTAGGCTTCAACCTGCGTGGCTAATCCTATCTCATCCTTTTTCAGCCTAGATCATTTGATTGTGTAAACCATGAGTTGTGGCTCAAAGTTCCTGACAGCCTCTAAGTGTCCCCTCTGAATGATAGTGGATTCAACTAGCTGGCAGTCATGCTCATGTTAATTTGCAAGACTATATTTTGAAGAAGATCCTTTGGTTTTCATTAATGGCTTATTTAGGGTTAGTAAAAATGTTAGAGGGTTAAAGCTACCATACACACATCATCCAAATTCTTTTCCCCTTTTCAATATAGTAAGAGGGTTTATGTAGTATAGAAAACCTATTAAGATGATCTTTATATATATTCATTACAGGGCTGGGACAGAGGGTTGGGGTGCGGGCTGGGAATGTGGAGTTCAGGGTCTGGGAGGGGGCTTTGGGGTGAGGCCAGGGATGAGGGATTTGGGGTGCAGGAGAGGGCTCAGGGTTTGGAGGAGGCTCAGGGCTGGGGCAGGGGATTGGGGTGCAGGCTTATCTCAGGTGGCTCCCGGTCAGCGGCGCAGCCAGGGTGCAGAGGCAGGCTTCCCACCTATCCTGGCACCGCTGACTGCATTGCACCCCGGAAGCAGCCAGCAGCAGGTCTGGCTCCTAGGCAGAGGCATGCAAGCAGCTCCGCGCAGCTCACCCCGCAGGCACTGCCTGCCCCCCCCCACTGGTTGGGACCAGACACTGAACTTACTCTCTCCCATATCTGCTGTAGGAAATTTCAAAACAAGACTGAATCACATTGGTAGGGTTTTGTGGAGAAACATACTATACAAATCTAAAGCTGTTCACCGGCATTACATTACCTACAGTAATTTTCAAAAAACACTGCTTTGAATGCTTCAGTATATGTACCTTAAATTGCTGCGTGGCAGGGTCCAGTGGATATTCAATGAGATATGGGTGGTTACAACATTTCCTCAGTAACATCATAATATTCTGCAGTTTAAGGTTGATTTCTGAATCCGTAGGAATGGTCATTTCTATCACTGGCCTTACAAAGACACGTAATGTTTTTAGTACAGCAAAATGTCAATGCATTTCAAGTGCAGTACAACCTAACAAATGTCTAGAAGACCTACTGTGAACTACTAGATTTTCAGAATTAGAAAAAGGATAATGCAGTTTTTCATTTATCTTGATTCAAAATTTAGTTTCAATTTTATGTAATATTTCATAGTGTATTAAAAGGGATCTTCTAAGTTAAAGATATTTTTAAAACAGGGATTTTTTTCTTCGAGATATGCACCTCTCTTTTTCTACTTCTTCTTGCATTTTGCTGATCAGTTTTTCCAGCTCATCAGGCGTATCACCATCTCGTTCACGGTAATCAACTGCTTTTCGACTCCGACGCTTTGGTCGTCCTGTAGGACTCAACTCCACTACTTCTTCCTGTAGCAAGCGATACAAATTATGACAGTCAGCAGACGTTTCTCATGTGTCATTGGGGGGAAGGGGAGAGGGCAGCTAGATGTGACCCAACCCCTTGGTGTCCCAGTGATTCTCAACATATCTGCTGCTTAAAGAGTCTGTTCACTAACAGTACACATTTCCCAATATTTATTATTGAAGGTACATTATCGGGAAAATATTTTATACTGCCCAGATTTCTCTGTCATTGATGTAGTGAAGACTGGTCTGCAGCTGACATCAGAAAAAGACAGTTACCTTTTTCTGTAACTGGTGTTCTTTGAGATGTGTTGCTCATGTCCATTCCATATTAGGCATCTCCCAAGCAGTACCAATGGAGACAGGCAGGAGTTAATAGATTGCCACACAACTCTGCCAAACCCAGCATGAGCTGTGAATGTGTGGACAGATGACCAAGTCACAGCTCTACAGATGTCCTGGATAGGGATGTGCACTAGGAAGGCTGCCGAGGATGCCTGAGCTCTAGTCGAGTGGGCTCTGACGATCAGCGGGACCCCCCACCAGTTCGTAACATGTCCATATGAAAGAGGTGATCCAGTTGGAAATCCTCTGCGAGGACACTGGAAAGCCCTTCATCCTATCCGCTGTGGTGATGAAGAGCTGTGTTAATTTACGGAAAGGCTTGGTACGCTGTAGGTAAAAAGCCAAGGCCCAACGGATGTCCAGCACGTGAAGACGGTTGGGACAGAACACCGGGGGGCGGGAGGGGGAGGAGATGATGTTCTGGTTCATATGAAAGATGGATACCACCTTCGGCAGGAAGGCTGGGTGGGGCCGCAGCTGAACCCTGTCTTTGAAGACGACCATGTACAGCAGTTCTGAGGCCAAGGCTTTAATCTCAGAGACTCGTCTTGCTGATGTCATTGCCACCAGGAAAGCGACCTTCCATGACAGGTGGGAAAGGGAGCAGGAGCCCAGCAGCTCAAAGAACCAAAATCCCACTGTGGGACAGGGGTCTGTACCTGCGGGAAGAGTCTCTTGAGGCCTCTCAAGCATCTGACCATGATGTCATGAGAAAAACACCATCTGGCCCTGGATTGGTGGGTGAAAAGCAGAGATGGCTGCGAGATGTACTCTAATGGACGAGTGCGCCAGGACCTGGTTCCTCAGATGAAGCAGGTAGTCTAAAATAGACTGTACGGAAGAATGTGAGGGAGAGATGCCACACTCGGACGCCCAGCGGGAAAACCTTGTCCAAGTAACTCAGTCTGGTTGAGGGCTTCATATTCCCCAGGAGGACCTGTTGGATCTCATCCGAGCAGGTCCGCTCCTCTGGGTTCAGCCACGCAGCATCCACACTGAGAGGTGGAGGGACGTGAGGTTGAGGTGTAATAGCTGACCATGGTCCTGTGACAGCAAGTCCAGCTGGTTAAGCAGGGGCCAAGGAGGGGCTGCTGCCAGGTTCATGAGGGTGCCGAACCATTGCTGGCGATATCATGATAACCTGTGCCTTGTCTCTCTTTATCTTTGCCAGGACCTTGCTGGTGAGTGGAATCGGAGGGAATGCATACATCAGGCTCCCTGACCAGGACAGGAGGAAGGCATCGGAGAGGGAGTCCTTGCCCAGACCCGCTGGGAACAAAACCGATGACACTCCCGGTTTTGCCTGGTGGCAAACAGGCCCACTTGGGGAGTTCCCCACCTCTGGAAAATCATGCAGGCTACCTCTGACTGGAATGACCACTCGTAGTGAGAGGGTAAGTCTCTGCTGAGGTGATCCAGGAGCGTGTTCTTGACACCAGGGAGGTGACATGCTTCCAAGTGGATTTCATGGCTGATGCAGAAGTCCTAGAGATGGACTGCCTCTTGGTTGAGAGCCGACGAGAGTGCTCCCCCTTGCCTGTTGATGTAGAAAATCAAGGCTGTGTTGTCCATCAGGACTCTCACCACCTTGCCCAACAGGTGAGGTAGAACAATCTGCATGCCAAGTGGACCGCTCTGAGTTCTTTGATGTTTATGTGACACATCCTCTCCTATTGGGACCACATACCCTGGGTGTGGAGATTGCTGAGGTGCGCACCTCAGCCAAGGTGTCAGAAACTAACTGGATGGAGTGAGGGGGGGTGTCGAATGGAACTCCCTCTAGGACTGTCCTGCGATCGATCCACCATCACAGCTAGGTAAGATTGTTGGGGGTTGGTAAGGATCTTTTCCAGGTGATCCCTGGACTGGAATAGACCGTTGCCAGCCACGTGGACCCCAAGATGCAGGCAAACCCTGGCCATAGTCAGGGAGAATGTGGAGACTTCTGCGATGAGGTCTGCCAATGTCTGGAACCTTTCTAGTGGCAGAAATGCTCTGGCACAGGTCGAGTCAAGCACCGCTCCAATGAACTCTATCCTCTGCACCGGAACTAGCATAGACTTTTTGTCATTCACCAGTAGGCCCAGGGAGAGGCACGTGGCTTGCAAAGCTGCAACATCCTTTTGGACCCGAGACCTGGAGCTGCCTTTGACTAGCCAGTTGTTAAGGTACAGGTAGATCTGGATACCCCGATGCCTGAGGTAAGCAGCCACCACTGATATGCACTTGGTAAACACCCTCAGTGCTGTTGCCAGGCCAAACGGGAGGACTGCAAACTGGTACTGGTCAGGTCCCCACCATAAATTGGAGGAAGCGTCTGTGTCCTTGAAAGATCGCTATGTGGAAGTATGTGTCCTTCAAGTCGAAGGCGGCATACCAGTCTTCCGGAACCAGGGAAGGGATGATAGAGGCTAGGGAGATCACATGGAGCCTCAGCTTCTTTAGGTACTTCTTGAGTCTCGCAGGTCTAGGATGGGCCATAGACCGCTCTTGGCCTTTTGGATTAAAAAGTACTGGGCATAGAACTCCTTGTTCCTGTACTCTAGAGGAATCTCCTCCACCACACCCAGCAGCAGTAACTCTTACCTCCTGCACAAGGAGACTCTCGTAAGGGTCTCTGAAGAGGGACAGGGAGGGGGGGTGAAAAAGGGGGGCAGAAAGAAACTGGAGGGTATAACCCTGTGCCAGTGTTGAGGACCTAGCGATCTGAAGTTGTAGCGATCCATGCAGGAAGGAAAAAGGAAAGGCAGTTGGAAAAAACTGGGGAAGATGGATCCAGGGAATAGTCTGGTAGTTCACCCTTGGGTGCACCCTCAAAATGATCAGTTGGCCCCCTGCTTGTTTCAGGTTGAGCTTGACTGCGCAGAGGGTGGAAGTGGGTGGCTCGGATGACATTTGTAGCCCTGGGCTTTCTTGTGAGGCAGGTCCTGCTGAGGCAGACTCGCCGGCTCTGCGGCTGTTGTGGTTTGAACCGCTTATGCGCCAGGCCTGGGACGTAAAGGCCCAGAGTTTTGAGGGTGGTATGGTAGTCCTTTAAACCATGCAGCTTGCTGTCTGTTCGCTTTGCCAATAGGGACCGGCTGTTGAAGGGAAGGTCCTGCTTAGACTGCTGAGCCTTGGCAGACAAGCTAGAGAGGAGCAACCAGGAGGCTTGCCACATGGAGATGGCGGAGCCATGGTGTGAGCAGTAGAATCTGCTGCATCTGACGCCGCCTGGAGGGCCGCCCTGGCCACGGTCATACCTTCGTCAATAACCGCTTGGAATTCCATCCTGGACCCCTCAGGAAGCAAACACTCGAACTTGGCCATGGCTTGCTACATGTTAAAGTCATATCGGCCAAGGAGAGCCTGGTGTTTGGCCACTGTTAACTGAAGGCTGGAAGATGAATAAACTTTATGTTCAAAGAGATCCAGTATCCTTGAGTCATTGTTGTCCTTGCCTTTCCCTGTGGTTAACTGCCTCAACCACAAGGAAATTGGGGGCTGGGTGGGAATAAGTACTCATGTCCCTTAGCTGGCACAAAAGTACTTGCACTTGCCCTTTTGGAGATGGGGGGGATGGAGACTGCCACAGGGCTTTAGTAATCTTATGGGGTAAAGCCACCATAGGAGGAGCAGAGGATGTCAAACAGGGAGTCCGAAGGCTCCTCCAATTCCTCTGCCTGAAGCCTCAGGTTAGATGTGACCCTCTTGAATAGTTTCTGGTACGTCTTAGCATCATCCTGAGGAACTGGGTGAGAAGGCCCCGTGATAGCCTCGCCTGGTGACAAGGATGATGCCGGGGCACAGGATCCTAAATGCCCATTGGTGGTCCAAAAGCTCCTGGACCTGTGGGGTCTTTCCCCCCCAAAGCCTCAAGCACTGGAGGGGGCCGGCATTGAGTGGGCAGCCTGGGTGACCCCACAAGGGTTCCATGGATAGCATGGCACTGGCCACTGTACTTGGGGCCATAGGATGGATTTCGGTGCAGATGATGTAGATGGCACCAGAGCTAGTCCTGCAGTCAGGGGACCCTGCTCAATGATGGAGCTATAACCGGTACAGTCGGTACTGGGAGACCAAGATCAGACGGGGCAGTGGCTCTTGTCTGACTGGTGTTAGTCGCTGCGCCTCAAGGTAGGCCTGTCTGAGTGAGACAAATGTCTTGGTCGGAGCCTCGGGGACCTACTGCGTTCAGCAGATCAGTGTCGGAAATCCGGCAATCTATGCCTGACGTGACTCAACTGGTACTGGGAAGTTAAGCAGGACCACAAGCCAATTGCCAGGAGGATCCTCTCAAATACAGCAATCTCCATCTTGGAGACAGATGACGATGGGCTAGTGATCACTGCCTTCGGTCCCCTGATCAGTCTGTGATCTGTACCGAGCTCTTGGAGACACGAGGGGTTGGTCTTAGTGCTCCTGCCAGGGGGCACATGCCTTGGTGGGTCTGTGCCAGGCTACTGGCGAGATATGCCTCGAATCCTGCTGTCAGTGCCCAAAGTCAGGAGACAGGAAAAGGGCTCCGTTGAGCCTGCTTCTCTATCTCTGAGGCGTGAAGGCTTTCAGTAGGCAAGTGGTGGCGGGGTGTCCCTTGCGATGTGGAATGGTGCCACTGAGGCAGGAACATACGTAGAGGTCCCAAGGCGGGTTTACCTTGAGACGAGGGTACTGCCAGAGTGGGCAGCACCGGAAGCGTCAGGATCTCCTGAGATAGCTGTAGGGCTTCAGGTGTCAATGGCACCTGAAGCTGACAGAGGCCTCCACTGCTATCCGGAGTTGCAGACAAGGTATGCGATGGGTTGCACCACTCGACTTGAGCTGGGGCCCAACTTCCCGAAGAAAGTGTTGAGCTGCCAGCGTGGGTCTTGGCTTGCCCCAAGCCCTCTCCTTTCCCTTGTGGGCAGCAGGAGCTCTTCCCCTCACTGTCTTCTTCAGCTTCTTGGCTGGCAGGGAGGGACAGCCCAGTGGTTTGATCATTGGCCTGCTAAACCCAGGGTTGCGAGTTCAATCCTTGAGGGGGTCATTTAGGGATCTGGGGCAAAAATTGGAGATTGGTCCTGATTTGAGCAGGGGGTTGGACTAGATGACCTCCTGAGGTCCCTTCCAACCCTGATATTCTACGATATTACAGGGTTTGTAAAGTTCTCAAGAACGGAGAACAAAACAATGCTAGTCAAAGCAGCAAATGCCCCAGCACCATCACTGGTGGCAAGAAGGAACTGAGGGTGGGGAGAACCAGGGGTGCCCCTTATACTGCAGCATGTGCACACCACTCTAGAGGGCACCAGAGCCAGTCCCTTACAGATACTGCTGAGGGAAAAACTTCCAGCACAGGTGTATGTGATGAGCACACACACCTAATATGGAATGGACTTAAAGAAGAACCAGGCTCTTATATCTGACCCTACCACGTGTGTACTTGGCTTTGATTTATCATGCCAGTCAGGGTCCTTCTGATACCTTTTCAAGTGGGCCAGGGTCAATGTGCAGCCAGCCTGCACACCCGGGGCACATCCATTTATGGCCAAAGAGACAATGTCACACATTATTGAGGACTGCCCTCTGACAAGATTTGATGGCGGTCTGAGGTCTCTACACTTTGTAGAGGAGGCTGCCACAAATTGGCTTGGCAAGCTCTGCATTTGATAAGAAAATGACTCGAAGGTCACCCTCTTGTCCTACCTAAAAAAGTTATGTTGTGACAATAACTGAAGTATGACTACTGAAGATGTCCAGCGGTTTACTACTTAACTAAACATAAATTCTAATTTTTTAAAAAAGTGGCTTCAATTCTCAGTACACAACTTTAGATACTGAAAGCCTCATTTTCCAAGAGGTGCACGGGGACTCATTGCTTTTGTGGACTATCACAACAACCTTAATGGTCACTTGAGCAAGAGGAAGGTCTTTTAGCTGTGAACTACAGAAATACCATTATGTCCTTTCTAGGCTAAAACTAGCCAAGGAGCAACATGCTCTAAATTCTATACCCACTGACGTCAACAGCAATGAATTCCAATTGAAATAAGTGGCAGAAGGATTAGGCCCAGAACTATTCACAACAAAAAGCTTTTGCTCAATTTTATTATTTTCTTCAATAATAGTCAGTGCTGAAGTTTAAAAAGACTTAAGTATATGGAAACTTTGACAGGGTAATAAGCCAATTTTGAGCTGAGAGGCAATGAAATAATAGACAAAAGTCAAATCAGGAAAATATTTTAGAGACCTGTAACAAAAAAAATTTGACACCAAAATTGATAAGGTAGAATGTTTCTATTCAACTTCAATGTATAGAATTCTAATATAACTAATGAGCTATGCATCTGTACACAAAACTAAACTGGTAAAAAAAAGTGTTTTAGAAGTCACTACTAGTGTAACCAATGCTATGGTATTTTCATTTGTGAACCGTAATTGTTTTTATACATTTCTGAAGTCCACAGCAGTAGGTACCTCATTGTTTCCGAGCAGCTTTTTAATGGTCCGATTTACAATAGCAGTATAGAAGGTTTCTTGTTTCTTTGCTAGTGGTGCATAGACCACAACTTCTCGTTTAGGAGGAACCTCAAGAGCTACATCAGATTTCAGTCTTCTCAATAAGAAAGGTGTCAAAATCTAAAATGTAAACAAATACATACACAACCATTAAACACGTGGGGCCAAGCTCTCTAGTGCAGTGGTCTCCAACCGTTTTACGCTCAAGATCACTTTTTGAATTTAAGGGCAACCCAGGATATACCTCGCCCCTTGCCCGAGGCCCTGCCCACTCCACTCCCCCCCCCATTGCACACTCTCCCCCCACCCTCACTCACTTTCAGCAGGCTGGGGGTTGGGGTTTGGGAGGGGGTGTGCGTTCTGGATTGGGGCTGAGGGGTTCATACTAAAATACTGAGAAATCCTTATAATGGTAATGCAGTTATTGTCTACATGCCATAGCTTTGAAAAGTGGCTATTTAAAAATTTTGAAAGTTACATTCCCTAGGAACTCTGTGGACTTAAACATTTATGTGATCCTGACACAACAATGAAGTAGTGCCCCTACTGGATTACAGGGGTTGTCAGTGAAGAGTCAGCATTTGTCAACAGTTACCACATAGCATATCTGGGAGACAAGTTTTTCCATAGAGCTGGAATAGGAAAACAGTGGTGACTATTGGCAAGTGTTGACTTAAAAAAAAAAAAAAAGCAGCGGCCACCTAACAATAGTTTGGCTTTGCCTTTGAATAGGGGAATAAAACCCCATTACAAACTTGGAGAGTAAGAAGTGATCCCTGCCCACTGCCAACAAAATGATCTGAGATAAAAATACGTTTGGGTCACATTCCATAAAAGACAAACTGTTGAATGACACACACAACTCAACTTAATGTTAATGATAGTGCATGGTACCAGTTTAATCTGCTGGTGAAACATCAAGTGCTAAAAAAGTGCAGAAACAAAAGTCGCAGTTAGCTTTAGTCTTCAGAATTCTCAATTTCATTCCAAAACCAAAACAAAAAAAAAATAATCAAAGACTCATGCCATTCTTTTAATCTTCTAATGTTGAGAAGGTCCAATACAAAATAAATGCAGAAAGTGCCAACAATGCCAAAGATACAACACCAGACCTGCTAAATTGTGTTATGATCAACTCCAAAGAAGAAATCTGTTCTAAAAAATATGCTCGGGATTAAAGGTGCAATAAAACTTTAAAACAAGAACAGCAAAATCATCAAGATCCCAGACCTGGTGCAACATGTGTAAGATGTTCTGCTCCCTTTCTTTAGCAACAATATCTTCAGCAATTTCTGTAATGCTTGTAATGTCAAACCAGGACTCAAAGCTAGAGACAGAGACAAAACAATTCAAGTTATTTCATATGCATTATTCGTTGTTATTTGAATGTGTGTCAAACTCCAAAAAAGTTTCTAAAGCACATTATGTATGAAAGATGTAAGGCCAGACAATTGTAAAACTGAATTATAACAAATACAAATGTTAGTTGGAAAGCACAGTGCAATGTGTTATACAAAACAACATTATTTCTGCTGTAGAACTAGACCTTTGCAATCTCTTTCCAGCTTAGCACTGAATTCAAAGTTGTTTTTTGGCACTGCAATGTGACAGGTAGTCATGAAGGAAAACTTAATGCTTCCTGCTTGGCTCAGAGGGTTTTAATTTTTGCTCACTGGCTAAGATATGAAAATTGTTTCCCTCTCTGTAGAAGCAACTTCAGAAATGAAAAAAGTCACCTGAGGAAGGGAGAAACCATTCAAGCCCCTCCATCACTGAACAAAGATCATAGAATATCAGGGTTGGAAGGGACCCCTGAAGGTCATCTAGTCCAACCCCCTGCTCGAAGCAGGACCAATTCCCAGTTAAATCATCCCAGCCAGGGCTTTGTCAAGCCTGACCTTAAAAACCTCTAAGGAAGGAGATTCTACCACCTCCCTAGGTAACGCATTCCAGTGTTTCACCACCCTCTTAGTGAAAAAGTTTTTCCTAATATCCAATCTAAACCTCCCCCACTGCAACTTGAGACCATTACTCCTCGTTCTGTCATCTGCTACCATTGAGAACAGTCTAGAGCCATCCTCTTTGGAACCCCCTTTCAGGTAGTTGAAAGCAGCTATCAAATCCCCCCCTCATTCTTCTCTTCTGCAGGCTAAACAATCCCAGCTCCCTCAGCCTCTCCTCATAAGTCATGTGTTCTAGACCCCTAATCATTGTTGTTGATGAATCCAATCATTGTGTGATATGTTATCAATTTATCCAACTCAAATGAACAGATGGATAGTTGTAACGATGCAGGGCATTAGTTCTGAGCAGCTCATGCAGAACACACACAAACAGTCTGGGCCAATAGACCATGGCCTACCTTTTCAAGTCATCAAATACATCTGGCAGCAGGAAGTTAAGTAGTGACCAGAGTTCTGCCAAGTTGTTTTGCAAGGGAGTGCCAGTTAACAGAAGTTTATTGTCAGCATTAAACCGTTTTAATTCCCTGATAAGACGACAGTTCATGTTCTTAATCCTATGTCCTTCATCCACTATCAGATACTTCCAGAAGCAATGCTACAGAAAGAAAAGAAGTCACCTAGCATTTCAAGAAATGTGATCTTTGCCACATCAAAATATATATTACAGACAGCACCAGCAGAACTGCCTATTATGGCTGCCCAACACTTCCCATCATAAGACCCTATTGTCATTTTCTTAACTTTGCCAAACTTCAACTGTTTAGGCAAAAATTTCCCATGCCTGGAATCTACCTCAGGCTGGAAGTTTTGTTTTGTTTTGGTTTTTTTGGGGGGGAGGGGAGGGAGATTGGGGCGGGGGAAGGGGAGGGAAAATTTCACCCACAAACAGCCCAAGTTGTTTCCAAGAACAAGGTTAACAAAAATATCTTAAATTCATGTGACTTTATCTGGGTTCCAGTGGAGCAGGGAGTTAAAAATCGGCAAGGACTGACCTGTGTGTCAGGGAAGTGTCTTTCTAAATATTCATAAAAACCCACCCCAAATTTGGCCATGTTATAAAGCTGTGGAAAAGTCTCAGTTTGTACACACTCAGTGAAGACCATGCTTGAGCAGCGGGCAACCTTAATTCTGGCACTTCCTAACTGTTAACTTTGCAACCTTACTGTTTTTAATGTAGTTTGTGTAATATTTTATTCAGTATATTATTCAGGAGTACACAAACTGATGTAGAACTGAAATGTTATTACGCTGGATATCGAAAAAATATGCTGCATCAGGAATGCTCCTTCTTTGACTCTACAGTGAAAGAGATGACCATTATTAAGCAACCTCCTGTCTTAAGTGACCACTCCAATGTACTCTACTGAATACAAATTCTACTCCAAAACCCACTGTGATACTGCACCCCATATTCTTCATAGTAATATTACTAGGATATGATTATGGCATAATTATGATGTGTTTTGTACAAGATAAATCATGTGGAGTGTCATTGAAAATGTTATGATTTGACGAATATAATTTTCCCATTTGTATGCATCTAACATATTTGTATCTGAAGTTATGAATACTGACTAGGGATCTGTATTTCAAATGGGCTTACTCTGGAAAACACCCATAGCCAGCCTTTCAGGAACAACAATGAAGCCAGACGGGGCCAATGGCCCATCGACAAAGACAATGGACCCTGGAAGAACTTAATCTTCCTGTGAAGGTTCCACGCAGCCTGTAATTAATGCCTGCTATGACTCAGGGTGTGTATATACTACGCAGTGTGTGTAAACGTGTGTAAACGCTCTCTGTCCAGCCCCACGAGCGGCGTTAGCTTTGTCAGCAGGAGAGCACTCCTGCTAACAAAGCCGTGTTCACACTGCCACTTGCTTCGGCAAAACTTGTGTCTTTCGTGCGCGTGCGCGTGGGGGGTGGGGGAGGCACAGGCACAGGCTTTTTAAAGTACCCGTGAAAGACAAAAGTTTTGTTGACAATGTTGCAGTGTAGACAAATCCTCAGTAAGGTATGCAAGGGCCTGTGACCAGGCCACATGATTCTGGACTCCATCTTGGGATGCCAGTGATTTTCCACAAGCTGAGGTTTGGAACAAAGGGTTCCCACCATATGCTAAAGCTATATAAGGAGTGACATCTGTTTTTCTTCACTCCCCACACAAGACGACAACTAGAAACACCTGAGGAACAAAGACTGAACTGGGGGAAGTGCTGGACTCAGGCTAAAAGGATTTCTAGTCGTGTATGAAAGACCTGGGGATTTCAAGCTGTAAAGCAAGAGCAGCTTGTTCCTTAAGAATCCTGCAAGCCCGCTTGTATCCTCTCTCAGGGTGAGAAACTGCTAATTCACATCCAATCCATCTAGTATATTAAGCTTAGTTTGTGTTTTGTTTATTTGCTAGGTAATCTGCTCTGATCTGTTTCCGGTCCCTTATAATCACTTTAAAAAAAAAAAAATCTATCTTTTGTAGTAGTTAAACTTGTTTTTGCTTTATCTAAACTAGTGAGTTTGAGTGAAATGCATGGGAAATTGTAGTTCAAGGGGCAAAGGCTTTTGCATATTCCTCTCCACATGGGGGGGAGGAGGGGGGAGAGAGAGGCGGGAAGGGAACACTATGAGCTTATACTGTACAAATCCCTGTGCAGTGCAAGATGGTATAATTTTGGGTTTATGCTCCAGAGGGGGTGTGTGCCTGTGGAGCGGAGAGTCACTTTGGCTGCAGACTTTCTACTGGTGCTGCATGCAGTGGCTGGTCATAAAGCCTGTATGTCACTGCAGCTGGATGTGTCCCTACGTGTGCGAATGCTGGTGGAAGTGTAGGACTGGGAGTGGGTCTGCAGCTTATCACAGCAGCACAGTGAGAGAGGGAGCCCAGGCCTGGTATGTCAGAGAGCTCAGTGGTACCCCAGTTCCAGGTGGCACCCCGGGGGAACCAGTCATAATCACCTCCCCTTTAAACAACCAGTTTTTGTCCATCTGTTGAGAGATCACTTAGGACAAGTTTGCATCAGGCTATGGATTATGCTTGCCTTCTTATTGTAATTTCCCTACCATTGTCCACAACCCCTTTAGGGTAGTGCATTCTACCTTTTTCATAAAGTTACTAAATATGCCAATCTAGGGCTCTAGACACGGAGGGAACAGTGCATTTGGAAACTGATAAAAGCAGCTATAACTGTTACAGTCTGACACTGCCACCAGGCAGATAGAATGCTTGACGTTTCTACTGCAGTAGAAAGCACTGTTTAAGCTATATTAGGGATAATGAGGCATTCCACCTGTCAGGGTGTACTTGTGTACCTGCAAGGCATTTCTGTCTCTCATGGCTATTTCAAACGAAGTAACGACCACAGGATGAATTTGCAGTGAACCTTCTCGCCTGTGAATTTTTTGAACCAATTTACGACGTTCCTGCTGGGCTCCATGGTACAGCATTATGGGAATCTAAAAGGAGTTTTTATACTTCCATTAATAAGTAGCAAACAAGAACCCACACATTTTAAAGTAATCACACTAAGAACTATCACTGCATATACAATACATATAGAAGAAGTTCCAAACCAAAACAGTTATGAGAATGAAATAATTTGCTCTTCTAAACACTAAAAAGTAAATACTTTTTACCTCTGGAGTGAATCTCTTGAACTCGGACATCCAGTTAGGAAGAGTAGACAAGGGACCACATACTAAGAATGGTCCAGGGACTCCTCTCTCTACCATCAGTGCTATTGTAGCAATACATTGGATTGTCTTTCCCAGTCCCATTTCATCTGCCAAAATGCCATTAATGCCATTTTCCCAAAGCATCTGCATACACAGAAAGATACACATGCCTAATAAGCACCAGGCATCCAGATGAATATAAACACCTGACTGCATTCACCATTTGCCTCCTGCTATCAATCTTTTCCCATATGCATATTTTCAGAGTTAGATGAATAAAATTTCTACTTGCCTAACTTAAATATAAAGGATCTATGTGCATGTGCCAGTCAAATATTTACGCATACATGTGACCAGTTAGGTGGCCAACTGGCCTTGTGAAAGTGCAAGAACTTGGACACATCAGGTATCTGCATGCCCTTAACAGAAAGCTTATCGATAACTGACATGGTAACTTCGCTGGAAATTTTCTGCTGACATTTTTCATGCTTGTTTCTAAACTAAAAGGTAATTTTTTTTTTTTTAATAAAGTTTGGTAAAAATTCTGTTCGGTCATTTTTGAGTGATCAAAGCAGAATATAGATACAGTATTTTATATTCAGACACTTTAGTGTTTAGTATAAAAATAAATTTTAAAAGTTAACGCTTGCTCCATGAATAAATATGCTTTACAAGTTAAACAAATAGAGACATAGCTAACAAAAAACCAGCTGCATAATTGTACTGTCATGCTTCTGCACAGAAATAGGAATCTTCCTACATAGTTACACTGATATTTTAGCCAACTAGCCTTTATCATCTGCTTTCTAAAAATCAGCACATTGTTACCTTTAAGTTTGAGCCAAAAATAATGAGGAAAAAACTTGCACTTGTATCCTTTTAAGCTTCTTTGGTGGATAAAAGGAGATTTAAAGAAAAACTGGGAGAGGTGTTTGTGTTTGTTTTTTAAACATTAGAAAGTTAGGTCTTGTCTACCCGGAAAGACACTATGGCCACATCTATACTAGGAGCGCTTTGGTAGTATAGATATACCAGTATACTATACAGACAAAGTGTGCTCCTAGTGCGGACACAACATATACCAGCAAAACTGAACTTTTTCCAGTAAAGCTTATTCCAACCCCCTAGCCCGAGAGAAATAAGCTGTAACATGAAAAAGCGCAGTTTTGCAAGTGTACCTGTGGCTACAGTAGGGGCCATTTGCTGGCACACTTTTTCACACCCTTGACCAACATAACAGTGCCAGCAGAAATCTGTAGTGTAGGTATGCCCTGTGATGAATGCAGAAGACTTAATTGGGTCTATTCTGTTCTTGTTGCTAAGTCAGGCTTTCCTTTTCAGTATGTAGTGAAGTGTACAATTTAGATGAAACTGAATGTGCATGTAGGCTACTTTTATTTAGCAATTAGAACAAAGATTCAAGAGAGAAATGGATTTTAAAACACCTTTTAGAAGGCTCTTGGGTCAATACCATTGGTCACAAATTCCCATAAGGAGGAAACACATGCCTGAACCTGGGCTGGACCTGCTGGATGTTAAGCAGTTGGTATACTCAGGTTCCTGTCTGAGAGTGGGAAAATGGCACAAGATTCCACCCTGGGACAGGTACGGGCAAGAAGCCTACCACCTGAAGAGGTGCACTCAGAGAGACCAGACATTGAACAGGTGCAGTTAGCCCTGTAATCATGAGAAGTTGAAAGAGGAAAGACTTTTAGTCAGAATATTTAAATCTAATACATTTAACTCCAATGCCCAATATAAAGTCTTTGTTAAAAATTCAAAATACCAACTCTCCAAATACTTGCAAGAGCTCACAACACACATCAGATCCCCAAGACATTCTCTAGTTAGAACAGGGAAGACTAGACTTGATACTCCTGATATTTCTAAAGTGAAAAATCAAGAAGAAATTTTTTTTAAAATATCCACGCCTCTTTTATACATCATAAAGAAACAATAGGTGCACGAGCCCAATTTTGTGTTTTAGAAATCCTTTACAGGCCACTTGTAATTACAAAACAAAGATGGAAGCACTGAATTTTGACACTTGGGATAGAGCTAATCTGAAGTCAGGTAAGGAACATCCTGCCTGAAATATCAGTATGTTGTAACAGGGGAAATGGAGTACAGTCTCCCACATGCATTTTTTACTCCTATTAGAAGAGTGGCTTTAAGCTGTCTTCCTTGAAAATTTCCACCTGGACATTACGTGGCAATGCCCCCATACATATTCCCTTCTTTTAAAGGAACGTGTATGTAATTTCTACAGTTCAGTCAACCACACAGGGCTGGAAAGGCCAAAGCTAACATAGACCGAGAGTTCCTTAAAACAAAAATACAGCTCTGCACAGCTTTTGTGCCAAACCCAAAAGAAACACTGTTCCCCCAATATACTTAATCTGGAAGACTTTGAAACATGACCAATATCATCTTCTGTTGAAATAAGTAGAAACATAAGATTTAGGCAAACATATAGATTCATACCCTGAGCCATTCCATGCCTTCAACTTGGTACCACCTCATAACACCTCCTGAAAAAAGCTTTGGCTGTTGAAAGGGTATTGGCTGCCCATTAAATTTCCGTACTGGATCAAGGAAGTGCTTGGCATTATGTCGTACAGCTTGTGACAACCTATCTTTAATGACGCTATTAGAATCTCCATTTTTCTGTAGGTCTTCTGCACCCAGTTTGTTAGAAGAGCTTTCATCCTACAGAAGGAAGTTTACAGAATTTAAGCACAAACATTGCAAAGCTTAGTTAACATACTGAGCAAGCTGCTGAGACTTCTGGCAAATCTCCAAGTCAATGTTATTACTACAGTTAGGAAAAACAGCATCCAGCTGCAATGATAAAGGCAGATTTAATCGAAGTGTGGCTGACCACACACAATAACTCAAGCACAAAATTTCCAGTGATGATATTAGCCAATATCACTTAGCCAATTAATATTTAAAACATTCAACTACTAAATGGCAATGTATCCTTCAACTCTTTGTAGTTTAAAAGCAATAATATTTACTAAATAAAATGATAATGTTGAACACCAAGTTGCTATCCATAAAAGTGAACCGACCTCAAAACTTGACACACAAAGGACAGCATATTTCACGTGGAACGGTTTCCCTTTAAGGGAATTCTAGTGACCACTAAAAGTTGGCTCCCCCCTCACATTCAATTCCCTAGAAGAACAGAGCAGAAAACTAACAGCCAACCCGCCCCCTCTCCCTGCACCTTATTAATTCTCAGAACTAGAACACTTTATCATGTGTATGTTGCAAGCCTGATCTGATATTCCAGCACTCGGTTTTTCCTTAGCATATGACTTATACTTTGAGAGGCAAAGATGTTTCCCTTGTGCTCCACACTACACTATCAAACAATTCACATTTAACACAAGACAAATTTAGGCTCCAACTTCTGGAGGCTTGAGCTTAATACTAAATCAGTGCACCATTAAACCCAGGGGTGGGCAAAGTTTTTGGCCCGAGGGCCACATCGGGGTGCAAAACTGTATGGAAGGCCAGGTACAGAAGGTTGTGCCTCCCCGAACAGCCTGTCCCTCACCCCCTCCCACTTCCCGCCCCCTGACTGCACCCCTCAGACCCCCTGACCCATCCAACCCTCCCTGCTCCTTGTCCCCTGACCACCCCCTCCTGGGGTCTCCTACCCCTAACCACGGTCCCGGGACCCCACCCCATATCCAACCCCCCCTGCTCCCCGTCCCCAGACTGCCCCGACCCCTATCCACACCCCCACCCCCTGACTAGCCCCCTGGGACTCCCACGCCCTATCCAACCCCCCCCTGTTCCCCATCCCCTGACTGCCCCCCCAGAACCTCCACCCCATCCAATCACCCCCTTCTCCCTGTCCCCTAACTCCCCCACCATGCCGCTCAGAGCAGCAGGAGCTCGCAGCCCTGCCGCCCGGATGGAGCCAGCTGCGCTGCCTGCGCGCCGGCATGGAAGGGGGACAGCAGGGGAGGAGCTGGGGGCTAGCCTCCCCGGCCAGGAGCTCAAGGGCCGGCAGGATGGCCCTGTAGGCCAGATGTGGCCTGCCAACCCTAGTTTGCCCACCTCTAATTAAACCCCTTACTTTTAAAACTTCTAGTAGAGCACCTAATGCTATAGCAGCTAGGCATTTATTTACAGAACAAGTTTAAAAATATACCACATAAAGTCATTCATAATGTATAAGTAAAACCACCACTTTGTCATGAATAAAATCAAGTTAGACAAAAATCATATATCTTATATAGGGTTCCCAGTGCTTATCTTTCCTAAAATTGTATTTATTCTATATAAATGTAAAAGATGCATATTTGTTTTATCATCAGTTAGAATGAAGAAAGAAATTGAGCTAATATATTTTAGACATTTCCTCCCAGTTTAATACAGAGAGCAACAAGCAGCAAAACTGTATTTCATACCTCTCTCTTTAGCAAGATGTTTGGAGGCATAACCCAATAAAAAATTTCAAGATAAAGAATTTTATTTTCAGATACTTTGATTTTAAAATCACTTATTCCATGTTGGTATGTGCTACTTAGATTAACAAATATAGATAGTTAGAAAAGTAAGTTTTCAGTAATAAACAACAATTAAAATATGGGGGCAGGAAATGAGGTAAAGATGATCTAAAATACAATGAGGAATTTTGAAATTGAAGACATTTAAACTGATTTTACAGTGTACACTTAAATTGGAACAATATGAAAGGACATACCTGATTTTCTACTTTGCTTTTTTTGGCCACTGACAAGATTTCCTAGAAATAAAAAGAAAATGCTAGTGTAAAATATGCTTTACAGCAACTTGAAAAACTAGAATAGCAACATCTATTTTTGTAAAATCTTTAATCCCAGGATCTGAAAGTGCTTTAAGTGAACCTCAACCAAGTATTATCCTCATTTGCTGATAAAGAAAACATGCATAGATAAATTAAGTACCTTGCTCAAGGTCACACAGATGGGAATACAAAATAAAATAAAGTTCACATTTTTACACGCACACACGTTGGGCAGAGAAGAAATGGGTACACCTTCTGGAAGTCTGCTTAAATTCCTCATTTTGTTAACAAAGGTGTGTGTAATTATGTTCAAGAGACAATAATATAAGCTGCAGAAATCACCTACCATCACATTTTAGTCAATAACCTCTCTGAAATGGCACATCAATGAATTCTACGTATGTTTAAAATATGCTACAGTACCATAAGACAGCAGTATCTGGAAGCTACATCACAAGTGAATGCTAATGTATAGAAAATACTTTTCTATTTGCTGCAAATTACATAAAATGCACTCTTACCTCTTTGGACATGACTTCTGAAATGTAATAGGTTTCATCTTCTCTTCCTCTTTTTTTCTTCACAACTACAAGAAAATATCACAGAGCTCTTAAAAGCTCAAAATACTGGTAAGCCACATCAAAAATTAAGAAAACTGAGTACTGAAATATAGACAAAAAGCAAAACCTAACGATAGATAAACCTACCAGATTTCTCCTCTTTTTCATCAGTTAGATTCTGACTCTAGAAAGTGAATATTTAAAAGCGTTATCAACTTAAATATTCTCTAATATCTCTTGGACAGATAAGAGAAAGATGTAATCAGCACTGACATGTTTACATAGTTTGTAACTATATTTGACATCATTTTTGAAAATTGTTACTCCCAAGCATTGTAAATATGTTTCTAAAAATAGCATCTAGCTATGTTAGAACAAGGTTCAACATAACATGCTCAAAATATACCATCAGGTAGTCGTGAATAAAGTTTGGGCTAAAAACTGTTTTTTCAAAAAGTCTGGCCCACCTTGGAGAATCAAGCCCTTCTAGATACAACTGTTCAAAAAAAGTTTAAGTATGGCTTTGCTTAAGAGGACAGTTGTGTGACATGGACATACATGGAAAAGGCTTTATGATAGTGTATGTACACGCAAAAGCAAAGCCAAAGACTGGGGAAAAAAATTTTTTTTTCTACTAACTTAATTTTTAACCTTTACCAATCAAGGAAAGGTTACATACAGCCTACTCTGAAACCCATATTGCTGTATCAATTTTAGGGAATTTGTCATGCTGATCCCAGAGAAGCAATTTGTATAAAAACAGCCAACACATCTTACCGTTGCCGCTTTTAATAACATTTCTTTCTTTTTTTCTAATTTCTCTTTCCTTTTCTGCTCCTAAAAAACACAAAGTTCTTACTTGTATTGAACAGCTGCAATAAATCTACCCATTATAAAAATACTAATATACACCGAGTACACACAGCTCCATATTAACAATGGAAACTGGGGACTGGTTTTGCTTTTGTAGTCATATATTTTAAAATGGTGCCAAGATGAAAGCTGATAAGTAGCTGAAATTGCTTGGCAGTGGGTAAGTAGAATTATTTTGTACTGCTTTTTGCTGTATATTTTACACAAAACTAATGGCTTAAATGTAATGCCTTACCTGCAATCTATCTTTGCATGACATGCAGCTGCACTTTCAGTTTTACACTTTGCATTGTTCCAAATACAGCAAAAGTGACAATTTAACTGGACTACAGTGTCTTTAAAGGAAGTAGTCTTCTGATTACGTTGAAGAAACTAGGATTTCTAATTAAATACGGTTAAAATTCTCACTTTTCAGTCAGGAATTCTTAGAATCCTCACAGATCTCTTTGGTACATGTAACATGGAGCAATAAATAAAAGCATGGAGTTTTAAAATAGGAACATGTTAAGCAAAATACCCTTTCCAAGTATGCATTTATACAGCTGTAATAACTGCAGATTGCTCTAATCAACAGATTAAAAAAAAAAGACTGAAGACTCCACTATTTGGGAAAAGACACCCTTGTAGTCTACCAAAATCAATGCTCTGTCTCACTGCTGACCACATCTATCCCCTTGAATCCCTTCACTGTCTTCCTCTTTCCTTTTGTACCAAGTTTAAGCTTATTTCTTAACTTCAATATTCTGCAAAACTCTTACTTCACCTCTTGCTCCTTGTTCTACCTTACGTCTTTGCTCCATCATCATCCTCTCATGCCTGGTTTCCCCACCTTCTTTAATGTGGTCTTTTATTTGAAATATCCTCTCAATTTGTTGTAAAGAGACCTCTCCTTCTCTTCCACATCCCCCCAGACTGATGCCATTAATAAGAATTCTGCTGATTTATTGTTATCACGGACCTTAGTTAGGATATAAACTCTTTGGGGGTGGCTTCAGATTATTTTTAAAATGATATCAGTGTTATGCAAAGGACTGTGGCACCCATAGGCTGACACTGTATTAGGAACTTAAAAAAAACACAACTTTGGAAGGAGCTGTAATATAGATAGGGCTGTAATAGTTTCTGGCATTTTTATCTGGGTTTAACTAACAAGGTGACAGACATCAGAAGCTCTCACTGAGGGAATTTTTTTTTTTTTTTTTTTTAAAGATTCCCTAGTGCAGATTAGGATTTACAGTGCTCTGTAATTAAAGAAGAAAAAAAAATCAAAATTCTGTCATTTAAACTTAGAACACATTTACCTCCAGTTGCTGCTGTTCCATTTTGGTCAGCAAGAATTTTGAATATATGTTGCTTTTTTCAAGCAAGTGTTGAAGCCTCTTGTAGCGCATTTCACTGGAGTCTCTGTCCCAGGACATGCGAGCCTTGCAAACAAAGAAGGAAAGCAGATCTTTAGCCATTTCAACTTTTACTCTTTAGAAATGAATAAAACCATTCCGTACATCTTGAACAAGATGGCTACAATTGTATTACACATATACAAACCCTTCCCTCCCAATCATTATACACTTGGGCTACATCTACACTACATGCCGCCACCACACATGCATGCCATATATGTGCAGCTACATGCTGCAGTGAAAAGCTGACTGCAACCACTGTGGCATGTAGCTACACCTCAGTGAAAGGTTATGGTACAAGAGAGGCAGTAGAGAAGGGCTCTGGCAGCAGAGAGTTGCAAGGGCCTTTCCCAGCTGCCTCCCCTGCCAGAGCTTTCTCTGTGGAGAGGAAATGCGCCAGGAAGGGGGGGGGGGGTGACAGAGCCTTTCCCTCCTGCCACTATCCCTCCTTTTGGTGGGAGAGCGCTCCAGCAGCAGGGCACTGCTGGAGGCCTTTACCTGTGGCAGGGAAAGGCTCCACAGAGGGGAGCAGCCCAGCCCTTTCTCCGCTGTTTCCTGCTAGCAAAGCCTTTCCCTGCTAGGGAAGTTTTTTCTTTCAGAGGGGAAAGGCTCCAGCAGCAGGACACTACATGGCTAAAAACAGCAATGTAGATAGGAAGACAGCTTGGCCGAGTAGAAAGCATGTATGGTATATACTTGCATACATACCCACTGCGTTCAGGTGTGTTTTTACTTACCTAAGCCGTGTCTCACCAGCTACACTGCGATTTATACCTATGCAAGGTGGGCTAGGTGGGTATGAACACAACACATCACCAAAAGATGTACCCTTTGAGGGTTTGGACAGACCACTCCACTCCCACACAGTTTTCAGTGTGTAACTTCTTAGATTTTAACACGAGGCCTTCAAATAGCTTGTCAACATAAGGTTTCTAGACATATACTCAGTAAACAAAACAGCCTTTAAATGATGCCTGCTCTATACTTGCCAAACAAATCTTAACTTACAGTGTGGACAGAGCCCAAATTAACTTTACCAAGCAGAGCAAGTCAGTTGCACATGCACCCGGAATTATCATCATTAGTGCATTTGATACAGAGTAAAGTTATAGTAAAAAAACCATGAGATTTGTGAATTACTTTTCTAAACCCAAACAAAAAAGTGGAATAAAGCTTAGCACTAATCAGTCAAAATACTAAACATTTGACAGGAGGGTGAATTAGTATATCTAAAAACCATGTTCACTTGGATAACTCTGCAACTACCCTTGAAAAGCTCTATAGTGGGGGAGGGAGAGGGGAAAGAAAGGTCTGGGAAATCTTCCAGAACTAAATGGAAGCATGTTAGTAGAATGATGGGGCAATAATCATTGTATGGGAACAGATTCATTCATTTCCTCCAGACAGTGTACCTGACCACACATTACTTTGTGGAAATGCTGATGTACTCTTTGCCCTGATAGGATGAGCCTTGGAGAGGAACTGGATGGATGGATTTACCAAAAAAAAGGCCACAACAGTCAGGCTATCCATGAAGAAGGGGGTTTGAAGCACAGGAGGGAGAAGCTGTGCCAGGGTGAGGGGACTGATTAAGAGATGTACGGTATTCTTTTAATTTTATTGTTAAACTGAGAATGCCTTATCTATTTTTAGCTTTAAGCCTAGATGTTAGGAAAACCCTGTTTCTGCTATTCTACTACAATTTTCTCTCCACTTTTACATAAAATAATTTGTTAGTCTCTAAGGTGCCACAAGTACTCCTTTTCTTTCTCCACCTTTAATAAAATCTTGTTTTTAAACATGATTTGACTGATGGACTATTGGCTGGATAATTTCACACAGACTGCACTAAAAAGATGAGAACCTCTCAGCTTCTAACTAGAGGTAAAGAAGAATAAGGGAGTTTCTGAGTCTCAATCCCCCATTGAGGGTCTCTTAACAGAGCATGGACAGCGAGGCCTTCTATCAAGGTGTGTCACAATGAACGCTGGGAAGGCTAACACAAGGGAAGAAGCCTAAAGACCAAGGCCTTGTCTACACTACAGAGCTTCTCGACACTCAACAAGAGCTATAATAAAAATTAAAGAGGTAGCTGTGTTAGTCTGTATCCACAGAACAACGGAGGAGCCTGGTGGCACCTTAAAGGCTGACAGATTTATTTGGGCATAAGCTTTCGTGGGTTAAAAACCCCAGTTCTTCAGATGCATCTGATATGGATAGGAACAACTTCAGATTGCTTTTGGCATTCACAGAACAGCTGCAGACAGTGAACCGTCGCTTTTAGGCTCCGGAAACAAGCATTGAATGGTGGGATCATATCCTCATACAGGTCTGGGATGACTAGCAGTGGCTACAGAACTTTCGGATGTGGAAAGGCACCTTCCTGGAACTGTATGCAGAGCTCGCCCCAGCATTGCGGCGTAAGAACACCAGAATGAGAGCTGCCCTATTGGTGGAGAAGCACATGGCAATCTGTATGTGGAAGCTGGCGACTCCAGACTGCTACCTGTCAGTCGCGAAACAATTTGCAGTCGGGAAGTTGAGCGCTGGGGCTGCTTTACTGCAAGTGTGCAGGGCAATTAATCACATCCTGCTACCAAGGACCGTAACTCTGGGAAATGTGTGTGAAATAGTGGATGGCTTTGCAGAAATAGTGCATGAAATAGTGGATGGTTTCCCTAACTGTGGAGGGTTGATAGATGGCACACATATTCCAACTTTGGCACCAGACCACCTTGACACAGTACATCAATAGGAAGGGGTACTTCTCCATGGTGCTACAGGCGCTTGTAGATCACCGTGGGCATTTCACTGACATCAACACGGGAAGGCACATGACGCATGCATCTTCAGGAACACCGGCCTGTATAGAAAGCTACAAGCAGGGACTTCCTTTCCGAACCAGAAGATTACAGTGAGGAAGTTGAAATGCCCATAGGGATCCTGAAAGACCTGGCATATCACTTACAGCCATGGCTCATGAAACCTTACACGGGAAACCTGGACAGCAGTAAGGAACAGTTCAGCAATAGGCTGAGTAGGTGCTGGATGACAGCGGAATGTGCCTTTGACAGATTAAAGGAGCGCTGGCAATGCCTTTAGGGCAGGTTAGACCTCAATAAGGATAATATTCCCATGGGCATAGCTGCGTGTTGTACGTTGCATAATCTCTTTGAAGCTAAGGGTGAAAGGTTTGCTCACGGGTCAAGTGTGGAGGCAGATCTCTTGGCTGATGATTTTGAGCAGCCAGATACCAGGGGCAATTCGAATCAGGGAGGCTTTGAGGCAACACTTTGAAAATGAGAACCAGTAATGTGTATCTTTGTGATTACATGCAGTTTTCCTAGGAAGTAATGATGAAATCTGGGGCCTTACATTCCAGTAAGCAAATGATTAAACTGCCTGTTTATGTATTGGTAGTACCTGCTATCTGAATTTGTAGGAAACAAATAAAGATGAATTACCATTCAAAATTTGCTTTTATTTGCTTTTATTGCACAAGAAACACCACACACACAGATGCTTGGTAGGTAAGGAGGTACCAGGGAAGGGCAGACTTTCAGAGCTGTGTGTAGGTCCAGTTATCATTTTGAAAGTTGTCCAAAGGGGTGGAGTGAAGGGGAAACTGAGAAGTCCCGGAAAGTGGAAAGGACTGTGTGGGCCGAGCTGAGGGGCACGGAAAAGAGTTCTGCATGTGCTGCAGGGGAGGGTGGGCACGGATCTGCTCAGTCTGTAGCATTATTAAGGACTTCAGCATCTGTGTTTGCGCCTCCATTACTTTAATCATCTGCTCAGTAGCATCCTTAAACTCCTGATTTTCCTTTTCTGTCCTGCCTTTTGGCTTCCCTCCACTCCTTGTGTTCCCTTTTCTCTCATTGGAGAAGTGCAGTACCTCCTGGAACATGTCTTCTTTGTTCCATCTTGGGCACTTTCTTATCTGGCGGAGACGCCTGGATGGCGTGCATGGGGTGTTCCTCAAGGCCACATCTGCCGAAGCACAAGGAACAATGCACAGAAGCATGATTGTTAAAATTCACACGCAGCATTGAAACGTCAGTAATACACACCTCTGGTAACAATCACTTTCTCACTAATCCTTGGCAAGCACGCATCTCGGCAAACAACCAAAGCATGGTGAGTGTTGGCTGGGGAGGCGCTCTACACGGGGAAAAGAGCATTCTGCAAGGGTTGCGTTGCAGCCGAGTAGGGAAAAAATTCTCCCACTCTTTTGCACAGGTGGGGTTCATTGTAACTGATCTCACTTCTGAGGGTAAGCAGGGAAGCAAAGGCACATCTACTACACACTTGTGGCTTCAGCCCTGGTCCCTATGCTGCTTGTCTGTGTGCTGTTTTGGTCCATGCACAAGTGATTGCCAAATGGTACGGGAAGGTTTCCTACAATGGGGGAAAGAACGACGCAGTTCTGCCAAGGAGCCTTCAGCCGAGGATTGCCAATTACCTCCAGGAAACTTTCTTGGAGATCTCTCTGAAGGATTCCTGTGAGATCTCAGCATGCATCAATACCCTGTTCTGCTGTACTGACTAGCTGCACAGGGGAACATCCAACACACAGAAACATAGCCAGCCTTGTACATTTCTATACCCTGAACCACCTCCACACTACACAAACCACAGCCACTTACCAGGCGTCATCTCTTCTGCTTCTTGCTCACCAGAGAGCAACTGCTGAGAATGGCTACACATCTCCGGAGTGCTGAACAATTCCTGGATGCCCACCCCACCATGAGCTCCACATCGTCATCTAACTCCACCTCTTCATCAGTGACTTTGTCCTCCGGGTTAGGTCCTCTTTCCACCACCTCCAGGCCCACCAAAGTATCCACGGGGCTCTTGGTGGTGGGGTCACCACTGAAGATACCGTCCAGCTCCTTGTAGAACTGGCAGGTTTTTTAGGTGCAGCACTGGAATGATGGTTTGCTTCTCTCACCTTATGGTACACCTGCCTCAGATCCTTTATCTTCGCTCTGCAGTGCGGCGTGTCCCGATCATAGCCCTTTTTGCAT